TGGTCCCGTATGACAATGAAACCAGGCAGCTAAGTGATGCTACCCAGTCTGCTTTAGAGGAGGCGGAAAAGATATTAGAGGCAGGACAAGCCCTTGGTGGCATCGATGTTCATATTGGGTTTCTGGATAGCTCGGACTACCTAGATGATTTGTTCTAGGTCAAGAGCGCACGAAGTAGTAAATTCACTGTGACCCGTCTGTAGCTCTACCAATTGTTTGATAAGAGGAACTTATGACGACACGGTAGTGAATGCGACTCGCGGCCCGTGCTCACCAACACTCCAAGCTCTGCACCAAACACTGCCTTCGTTGCCTTGATGCTGCCTGTGTGCACCCCCGCTCTCTAGCCACTTCTACGGCGAGGTCGCAGTCGTGAAATCACTCGATCATTTGCTCCCTCTCATACTCCTACCGCGACCGCAAATTTGAACCCCAGCTACACCCACAATGCCTGTACGCACCCGCAAGATCGGCGTCAACGACAAGGACAAAACCGCTCTCGCATTCGCCCACGATGACTTCCGCCGCCATTGGGTCTCCGGTCAGGTTGGGGGTGGCCGCAACACCGATTCAAGAGTCGCATTCAACCAACAAGACAACGGGTTCAAGCATCTAAAGCTCACCGTCGCAACGCTCGTCGACGCCAAAACCAACGAGGCACCTGACTTTGCCAACTTCGGTCCCGATGAAGAGGCGAAATACCACGGGATGCTGCGCGGCAAGCTCAGCCTGGCCAAGGACTACATACTCAAGGAGAAGGACCTGTCTCTCGACCCTGACCGATTCGGTGCGCGCCACGAGCCGACGTCACTAGCCCTCGCCGCACCGCCTATCATGATCGACCTCTATTCTCAGCACATGATCCGGCTCCTCCTCGATATCTCAACACAACTTCGCCAGGTACACGCTGAGACTCCGGAGGATGAGGTTGAGACCGTGCTCGAGGTGCCGATGAGAGATTACTTGGAGTTCTGGGAGAGGTTACAGAACAGTCTGTCATGGCAGCTTCCCGGAGACGATCACGAGGCTAGGATGGGCGAGGCGGACAGGGCAATGAGTGAGGTCTTGGAGAAGTTAGTTGAGCCTTAGCATGTGAACGCATAAGGCAGCTTGGCAGGTCAACGGGGGAGGAATTTACGTAAGGCATGCTTGCAAGCAGACCAGTTGACAGCACCCATAAAATCTAGAAAACCCTTGAGCAGTAGGAATGTTTTTGAACACCATTTCCATTCGCAGACATACAACCAGTAGCAAGAGCCAACTGTCCAGTCTTCCCAAAGCTTGTCACCGTCGAGCCTTTGGCTTTGAATTACGATCAAGCGAATAGCTGGTTTGCTGGCTGCTTGAATGCTTTCGGTATTTAGTTGCTCGATGTCGACACCGACCTTGCAAGCCCATCTTCGGCACTCTGTGTCGGCCCAGTGACTTAGTCGACGAGTTCAATGAATATGTTTTTTGTTGTCTAGGGGGTACATGCTGCATTTCACGCGCTAGTTGCCTGGCTACTCTCCTCTGTCAATATATAAATACCGGTTTCTGCTCCAAAAGGCCCTCGTGGCGAAGCTCAACTCGACTCCTCGATCGAAAGACATTACATCGACAAGCGTGAGTCGTGTGACCTGGATCGAATCGTCAGATCGAACTCCTTGAAGTACCAGTTCCCCATCTCAGGATATATAGAGGTATAAGTCAGCTCTCTTCATTGTTCGACTTAGGCTAACTATTCAAGTCGTACAAAAGGAGTACACAACATGGCTTCGACCACTACGATATATCCCAACACTCTTGAGGGTGTCAAGGCTTTCTGCAAGGGTCGCAAAGCTCTTGACCTCGTCCGCAGCTTTAACACTACTCCAATCCCAGGCGCACCGGCAAAGTGGGACGATACGCTGGGAGTTTGTCTAGACCTCGAATGGTACAACCAACCTCCCGACAAGCCAATGGAGATAATCAACGAGGGCGGTCTCATCGTCTTCCCGATGAAGAAGCTTCGTGGCTGCAAGAGCCCAAGCGATTTCGAGGATCTCGTTCGAAACTTCGCGGTACATCACCTACGCATCGTGGAGACGTGTCACATGCGGAACAAGGGGAAAGACAAGTTTGGTATCCCTTTCGGCGATACTGAGCTGAACCCAAGGTTTTGTCAAACGCGCTTCGTTACGAAGTCTGAGGCCCAAGTAGTCCTGGTCCAGTTTCTCGACAACCAGCGCTGCGACGATGGGTCAAAAAGGCCAGTAATCTTCTTTGGTCAAGGCCTGAACAATGATGAGCGCCAGCTGAAGGAGCAATGGAACCTTAACACAGCTAAGCTTGACAGCATTGTTCTTACGATCCGATCGCTTGGGGCACTGGCGAGCCACGCCGGTATCGTCGCTGTTCCAAACAAAGAACGCGGGGAGAGCTTGCCGAGGTTCGTCGAGCTTCTTCGTGGGTTCCAAATCGACACAAGCAACATATGGCTACACAACAGCTCAAATGATGCGGTGTATGAGACAACACTGTTCTTTCTCGTTGTCCTCTTCCCAGTCTTGTTTCCGGGTACGCTTGGCAATCGATTCCCGTCGGACTGCACCATCGCCGGCCGTTCCATCAATGACATATGGACCGGTCTTGCTGAGGAGAAGAAAGTCATCCCGCCGCAGACGTGGGGCACTGCTCAGTTCTGTTGGTACTGCGAAGAGGCAGACGTGCATGACGCCGACGCGTGCCCTGTAAAGGAGACGATCGAGTGCGGCATTTGCGCGAAAGCTCCTGGTCCTGAGAACAAGCGCTTCCGTAGTAAGCAGTATCGCTTTGGCCATCAGACTAGTCGGTGTGCCCATCAGTTCAGGCACTACATTCCGCCCCTGCCTGCATTTATTACCGACAACCTCGACCACGAAGAGCAGCGTGCTGTCTCGCGAGCAAAAGCTAGTGACGATGTTGCGGTCGGTGGGCGGATTCTGTTCGACAAGCTTCTGGCACCTGGGTACCCAGGCAGGATCGGCGATCGTGAGTTGGATGTCGAGGACGAGCGTCGCGCTGAGGAGGACAAGATGCTGTGGAGCTTAACCGATCCTGATGACGAAGAATTCGCTCTCGAAGATGAATAGTACGGCAGTTGACGCGTGTCAATCGAATCGACTGCGGGAGCATATTCGATCGCGGGCTCGGGGCTTATGGACGCGAGGAGGAACGTTTGCTTGTGTACAGCTGTCTTGTTGTAATGTTAGTAGTCAGCCATGATAAGGTGTATAACAATTGTTCCAGAGTCTGTCATCAAGCTCGATCCTTTTCCATGCTTGCTGAGTTGGAGAGAGTGAGCTCTGAACCGCTCTGGCTGCCACCCCTGGTAGGCCGCTGCATGGTCGGTTGGTCGAGCATTAGGCGCTTCATGCTGCCGATACTGATCGTAGCCTTTGAACAAGACGTGTAGTTTGGGACGAAGAGTGTGCACTAAAGACAGCTGTTGAGATTGTGGCTGGGTGGTGGTATTGCGACGCGTCGCACAGTTTCGCCGAAGCGATGACGTCACCCTTCCGAAGCAATCTTCCCCACGTGACCTCGGCCATCTCCGGACTTCCAAGGTCTGCCCTTCCGTTCCATATGGCACGCGCCAAAGCACTCCCGCTCGCAACACTAGCTTCTGAGAGCACGATTTATTACGTGTCTAGCAGACCAACGCTATCGAACATTCGTCGCGGCCTTCCTAAAGTCGACCATCCCGAGGTCCCTCTGCAGATCATCTACATTGACAAAAGTGTCGTTGACAATAGCCTCCACCTGATTCCCGAGTTCACTATCAGTATCAACACTTACGCTCTTCATCATCTCTCGCCACAGCTCAGTCCTTTGGATATAGTAGACTTCTTTTAGGCATGCCAAGTAGTGTTTCTTGTCTCGGTCAACTTCTCTGCACTGATGGTGGTAATGGGTAAGTTCGTGTTGATGGTGCAAGACCGTGCGGACCAGCATTTGGGCTTTTTCCGATATCATGGGCTTCGAAAAACAGTCCATAATGATCCTGAAATCTGTGAGAGGTGTCCCGTCAAGCTCAAACCCAGGTGAGCTGCAGAGCTCTGGGTAAGGGTTGACATATGCATTTGTGTCATCTACTCCCGCTTGTGGGCTGCCGTGCTGCGAGGTTTCTGCCTCGTCAATAGCAGCATTCTTGATCATTTTAAGGTGTGAATGGAGGCTCCTTAAGATGAACAGAAATTCGCGTTTCGAGATCGGTTCGGGCTCTTTCGCTGGAGCTGTGTGTATACGGAGGATATCTTTCTTTTTGGTGGAGCTGATGGATCGCGGCTTTCGCTCATAGTCATCACCTATGATTTGTGTTCCTTCGATAAGTCCTTGATCAATGCGCTTATTGCGACAGGCGACCAAAGCCTGAGCGAAGTCCATTGCCGTGAAGTCTTTCCAAGGCGGATTGCCATATACACTGACGTCTTCGCCCGCCTTTTGTAGTGCTCTAAACATGTTGCCCTTGTTAGATCTTCCTACCCATGACCCGGCCGTCCAAGCAGCATCAGGGTCTGTGCCTCGCTCTCTTGGTACAGTTGGGGTTATGGCAGGAGATCTGGATTTCGAAGTGGAAGAGAGAGTCAGAGATGAATTCGACTTGTGGGCCTTTCCTTGACTTCCGGATGGTGCATACGCTGGCGCATCTTGATTAGTGCTCGACATGACCAGACGATAGAGTTGGGGATCTAGACACCAGTTCAGCAGAAAGCTGAGGGTTGAGAGAAGAGTAGATCAGCACAACGTCTGGTAAGGAATAGTTAGCATATGAAGTGACCGATTATAGTCACGAACTTTCTCTCTCACTGGCCTAGGTCATTTGCAAGACCCCCGTCAGCGAAAACACCAGCTCCCACCAGGTGTCAGTCACAGATTGTTGTGTTCTTTCACTGTGCTTATTTTAGAGCACACGAGACGTTCAAGAATGGCTTTTTCTACGAAACATGACGCATCGCATGATAGCAGCCTCGCTTTCACTATATCGAGACACGTATCTCTCATCCATATCTAACCTCGCCAGCGCCCTCCCTGAACCAGTCATCGCTAGCCAGCCCTTCTTCCGCAGTCGCATAGTTTATAATCGTACTCTTCGACGTTGTATACGCATTGTAAGCGTCTATACCGTTCTCGCTACCCACTCCTGAGCTCTTGATGCCGCCCCACGGTGAGCTTGGGTCGTTGCGATGATGCGTGTTAACCCAGCATATCCCACTCTCGATGCTCTCTGACACGCGGAAAGCTTGCGAAAGATCTTGCGTCCAGATGGCTGCGCCCAGGCCGAATTCGCTGTCGTTCGCAAGCTCCAAGGCCTCTTCTTCCGTGTCAAAGCCTACGACAACAATGACGGGACCGAAGGCCTCTTCCTTCCATATGCGCGTATCGACAATCTTCTTCGCAGTGCCATCCGCCAGTATTGTTGGTGGATAGAAGTAGCCTTTCGAGAAGTCGGTGTCGTCCAGTGAAGATTTGTGAGTCATTCGTTGGCCACCTGTGACAACCGTCACACCTGCATCCTTTGCGTCGTTGACTAGTGTCTCAACGTTGCTGAGCTGTTTCGCCGATATGAGGGGACCCATCATAGACTCCACATTCTTCGGTGAGCCCATCCGCCTCTCAATGCTCTGCACCTTGGCTTTCAGATTCTCCACTACCTGATCGAGAATGTTGTTCTGCACGATGATACGCGTCGCTGCCACACATGTTTGGCCACTGGCTATAAAGCTTGCGAACACAATGCCATTGACTGCAAGATCGACGTGCGCTTTTTCGAACACGACGAGGGGAGCCTTACCACCAAGCTCGGCGGTGTAATGTGCCAGGTTGCGTCCTGCGATGGCGCCAATGGCGCGTCCTGCTGGTGTGCCGCCAGTAACATCGACTTTCTTGATGAGCGGATGCTCCACAAGAGCCTTTCCGGTCGTGATGCCGTCGCCTGGCAACACTGAAAAAACGCCGTCGGGCAAGCCGGCCTCTTTCAGAAGCTTGCCAAGCTCAATGCTGGTGAGCGGCGTCAGCTCACTTGGTTTCAGCACGATGGAGTTGCCCGCGGCTAATGCGGGTGCGATCTTCTTGACAGCAATCAACATTGGGTGGTTGAACGGCGTAATTTGCGCGACTACACCGAGCGGCTTACGGTCGACCCAATTGTGTAGTTTACCGACGGTTGGCAAGACAGAGCGCTCTTCGGTTCGTATCAACGCGGCGTAATATTTGAACCACTTCGTAAGAGTCGGAACCTGGGCATTCATCTCACGAATAGCGCGTCCGGTCTGCTGTACTTCCAGCGCGATAAGCCTTGGGAGATTCTTGGTCAAAAGTTCTGCAATTCGGTCCAGCGTGTCCGCACGCACATGGCGCGGGGCTTTCGACCACACACCCGATTTGAAGACTTTGTGTGCAGTTTGAACAACATCCTCGACATCAGCCGCAGATGCAGCATGGCAGTGCGCGAAGATCTCCCCAGTCGCGGGGTCTTCAACGGCGAGCCTGTGATGCTGTTAGCAATTGGGGTGGGTCACGAATGAGGGGTCCCGCTAACTGACTGCTCCGCTCGACCTTCCACCTCTTTCCCTTCCACCCACATCTTGTATGCGTTCTCCATATTGGTCATGATACACGTCGTAAGGCGCAATGTGTGCTGCAAGATTTGGGGATGGGTGGGAAGTTGAGGTGAGTGAGTCCTTGATAGCGGAGTTGGCCGACGAAGTGGACCTCACGATAAGTTAGCGGCGGCTAGAGACGTTTCGGCATCCAGAGTACCTTCCAGATCAACCACATGCTGGATGTAGTATCAAGCAGCATCGGAGTCAATTGAGAGGGCTTCAACATCATCGATTATGATTATAATACAATATCTTGGGTATCTTTTCCGATTTCGCCATTCTCAGTTGACCAACGTATTATAACAACGCCTGAAGAGACCCTGCGAATACAAAGCGGAGACAGATGACAATTCTACTATTTCAGATATGGCGCGAGGCCCGAAAATGAGAGAGGTAATGATCGCCACCGGAAGCAGAAACAAAGGAACTTTCATTTTGTCCTGATCAACCTGGATTTCATGTTAATCCAAGCACATGTCTTCCCTTCTCGTTACCCCTCCCACAGTCCAAATCCCTCTTCACTTCACCCTCAGCCCCATGTGTCTGCAGAAGCTCAATCAACATGCTTCTCTCCTTGCCTTCAAGTCTCACCGCTTTAAGGGCAGACTGTAGTGGTGTGCGTCCGTTCTTCGCCTCAAAGTTCACGTCCACACCAGCTTCAACAAGGTACTTTGCTATCGCAGACGCGCCAGGCGTCCTGCAAGCAAGATGAAGAGGCGTTTCTCCATCGTGGTCAGGGTTGTCGATCGAGTGACCCAAAGAAGCAAGGTAACGGACGGTGGCGAGCTGCCGTCCTAAAGTTGCGGCATGCATGGCCGAGTAGTACGATGATGGTGCCGGATTGACACGAGTAATATCAGCCCCAAAATCCAAGAGAAGGTTGAGGATATCTGGCGACATTTCGTACGCTACTCGAATGAAGAAGTAGCCGAACTCTGGATGTGTCGCCATCGGGTTTGCGCCTTCCCATATCACCCTCTCCACTTCGGCAGCTGTCGCTTCTGCTGGTATGTTTGCCAGAATTCGGTCCACCGCCGCCCTTTGATTTGGCTCCAGCTCTTTTCGTTTTCCCTTCGTCACAGCTATCCGATCCGAGGTGATCTTCCTATGAAAGATGGAGACGTCTGAGCTGGACAGCGTCGATGTGTATTTTGATGCTTGTTTGGATGCGTGTCTAGACGCAAGTTGTAACCGCGTACTCGCCTTCCCTGAGAGATCAGTACACCAGCTGTATGACTTCTTGAGTCGGGATTCCGGTGGTACCAGGGTAGGGCTGGATGCCGCGCCGTCGTCAGTGTAGAATGTACCGCGCGATGGGGTGATGTCTTCCCGGGATGGCGGTATCAGAAGTCGCCTGGGAACAGATGTTTGTTCAAGTGCGGAATAAGAGAGGGTCTGCGCGTCTTCAAAGGACGGAACGTTGGCGAGCCATGTACCAATGCCGTCGTTAGCGCTGTTTCGTGTTGAAGCTTGTTCGTGGGGGCTCTTCCTGCCGCTTCGAGGCTCCTCGCCAAGGGTGGGCTCTAGGGAATCTGGACGTGGGAGAGTAGTCCTCTTTGCTAGTTGTGATGCAGACGGCCCGTCCCGTTTAATAGCTGTGATACATGATCGAAGCAGACGGACAGCCTGTAATAGTGAAGACAGTTTGTCGCGTGCTGTTTGATTCACGTAAATCTCATCTGTATCCGTCTTCTTCAGCAGTTCATCACTTTGCGTGATGAGATCGCTGACAAAATTTTGAAGTAACGAGTCCATCGTATCCTGTTGGCAGAATCTAGGCAGAGTAAGTCTTTGCATCATTCAATAGTGTCTGCCGTGAACGACGTACAATGCGACATAGTCTAGACATAACTCTAGCACCACCTTTGAGGCGTCCAGATCATGCCGTAGATTCACCAAAGGTCCGTCCTTCAGCACACGCCAGTCCTCTTTCGGTTTACTACCACATGAGAGCTTAAGAAAAGCCTTATGCAATCGTTCACAGGTGTCGTCGCATGAGTCCAAAACTCGCGAGACAGCATCGATCAGAGACGCCGGCAGCTCGGCCCACTTTGCCGAAAAGTCGTCTTGCGCAATACTCAGCCCAGTCTTGATCACGAGCAGATCACTGTTGATCTTGTTCAGGTCGTGACGAGCATCGCGAAATTTGCGAGCAAAGCTGCTGATATCCGGGATGACCTGTTTTGGGCGTTAGCGTGTGTAGGTGCAAAGTCGAACATCTGAAGCGGCTACCTGGGCGATCGAAGTTCCTAGCGCAGCGCATCGGGCAGCGACTGTACTAGGACGCGACATTAGTTTGGATGCGCGTTGACAAAGTTGATGCTAATATGCACTTTGAAAAAGACGTCGAGGGCGTGGCCGGGCTGTCGTGGCTGTCGTGTTTGTTTTGGGGACGGCGATGCCTGTCGGCGATTTTGAAGGTGTGTTGGCTTGGTCGGAGCTGACGAGCTTGTCACATCGTGAAGTACTGGCGTACGGCACGGATCTCAAGCTCTTGCGTGCCCGCCGGTTACTTGGTGGCCCACGACGTTGGATGCGAAAGGGGGGGAGACACAGATCACGCTCAGTTTACGAAGAAAATAGGCTGCGCATTGTTTGAGGGAGGGTTGGGTGTTGTCGGGCTTTGCGTCTGCAGAGCGGTGGCTAATGCAAGAGACCTGCCTCAAATTGCGGGAGTGCAGGTGAAATTCCCCGTCTCCGAAAGCCACCAACGACTGGGCTATGGTGTTGCCATGCCTGGGGGAATAGGAGACAAGTCGCTATTGTGGGTTAGGCGGGGCGGGAGGCGCGCAGGGGAACCCGGTAGTGGAAATGAAGCCGACTGGGCAGTGGAAACATTAGATTGTCGCGTCTGCGAATGCGAGGACATCAATTTCAATTTCGCATATTTTTTTCTTTTTTGTACATACTTGCTGCACAAGCGACTCAGTCAACAATGCCAGGTGGCAAGAATGAGAGGTAATCGACCGGGGCGGGCTCTATCCCATCAGCTTGCGCAGTGAGCCGCACCACGTCACCTTGCCGAACCTCAACACCTCTGAACGTGATGCGCGTCGCAGAGTGCCCATCGAGATACACGCTCGGCGCGTGTCCCAGCTTGTCTTCCAGATCTCCCACCCAGCTACCTACGATCCGATCGCCAACCTCGAGTTCGTACTTCGCTTTACCTCCAATCAAATCGTAGTAATTGACAGCGACGTCGTACGTTCCCGAGGCGAACGTGACATTAGCGGTCGCGACGCCCGTTGTGGAGTTCGAAGTGGTGACGATAGCCGTATACCCGGAAGCAGTCTCAAAAGGGCTTACGGCGTAAGTCATGAAACCATCGAGCATCATGTCTTCCGCCTCAATGCGATACGGGTGATTGCCCACGCGCTGGTTCTCGTCCGCTATCTGTGAGAGATTGTGGTAGAACTCGTTGATCGCATCGCGCCAAACTATCGAGTGGCCAGCTTGGAACGTTTGCCTGAACAGTACATGTTCATATCGCTCATCGTCGATCTTGCCCTTCAAGGACTCCCATTGCCCGACAAATTCCTGCGCAACACCAGCACCTTCGTAGTGTGCGTCGTAGAAGTGCTGAATCACAGTCTTGTTGGATTTCAGTCGCTGTGTATACGGAACGTGATGGAACCAGAGCAGTAAGTTGTCCGGCGTCGACTCAATGTCCTCGTAGACTTGAGCGACCTCAGGAGGGTATTGTCCAGCATTGCCAGTGCCGTTCTTCACGGTGCGATCCATGCCGATACTGAAAGCATCGGCGCGCGTCCATTGACCCCACCCATTACCGTCTTGTGAAGCAGGGTTTGGTCCAAAGTGTGTGTACAAAATGTCAGTCAGTGTCTGAATGCCGAGATTGCCGCTGTAGTTTTCATATGCGGGCCACGACCTCATGGACATATCGGTAATGGTGTCGAGCACGTCCGGGTCAAAGCCAAATGTCAATCGAATCCAGTCTTGCAGGATAATCTTCGGGTCAACGGACGCGTCCCAGGCCAATCGACCGTACGCATACAGGTTGGACATGGCCAGATGTGAGCCTAGCCACGTCGCATTTGATCCAACTCCTGTCACGCCTGCATAACCACCCAATGGTCGCTTGAAGCGCTCTCCAGTGATGATGTCTTTGACTTTGGATGACTGATTGTCAGACTTCATGTCAAACTCCAGGATCTCTTTCCACTGTGGGGCCAGATAGACTAGGTGGCAATTCTGGCCGAGATACTCGGGCGTGATCTGGAGCTCGATAGCTGTGCTCGTGTGCCGTAAAGATCCAAACAGTGGCGATGCTGGCTCACGAACCTGAAAGTCAATCTGTGGGGAAGCAGAGATACGTTAGTCTGCTCTTGAATAGATAGCGTCTGTAGACATACCGGGCCGAACTTGATCTGAACAACTACATTGTCGTCGAACTTTCCATCGAGATGCTGAAAGAACTCCAATTGCGCATTCGCCCTGTCGTTGTACCAGTTGGTCTCATTGATGTGGTTGTCATAGACGAAAGCGCGGAACATGACAACACCACCATGGGGTTTAGCTGCCCTCGCGAACATGTTGGCGCCGTCTGCGAGTGTTCGATTGTAGGTCAATGGACCAGGCTGTCCTTCTGAGTTTGCTTTGACGAGATAACCGGCCATGTCTGGAACCTTGGAATAAATCTGGTTGGTGATGTTGGCCCACCATGCATCTACCCTCGGGTCTAGAGGATCGAATGTGCCTAGACTAGCATTCGGAGATGCGAAGTTGAGGGATATGCCAAGCTGCACACCCCATGGTCGCATCGCATCAGCGAGTCTACCAAGGCCTTCCACGTTGCGATCGTTGAGTAGCGTGGCATTTGCGTTGACGTTGTTGATGATGGCGCCGTTTACACGAATTGATGCCAACAGGCGAGCGTATTCAGCAACCCGCGTCGTGTTATCTACGACAAATCCGTCCCGGAAGAATAATGAAGGGCCAGCATACCCTCGTTCGATACTGCCATCCATATTATCCCATTCATTTGTCCACCGTATGGGTACTTGCGGGTTGAATACCGTTGAAGCAGCCGTGATGTTGTCTTGCGCGAGCTGAGAAAGGTACTCAAAGGCTCCATAGAGAGCACCGCGTTCATTCTGTCCAATGATTATGACTTTGCCGGGGGTAGTTGTGCTGAGGAAGAAACCATCTTCGTCCAGGTTCTCGCATTCGTCGATGCTTCCGTACGCGGCTACGTAGGCGTCCCAAGTTCCGACGATGATGGCAGACTGGCTTTGGTCTGCCGTCGAGCTGACGTTCAGCTTTCGTCCGATGATGCCGTCTACGCCTCTCTGAAGCTCTTGGCCTGCGGTGTAGACAGGGCTCACTTTCGTGCTGTTCAAAGCGATGATCGCCGGGGGTACCGATTGTGCGCATGGCCCGTCCGGTATAGGAGCATAGCGCAGCCAGCCTTGTGAGCCATCTTCGGCTACAGCAACGCCCAGCACGCAAAACAGTGTGGTGAGTAAAAGTCGCATGATTGAAGCCAATGGATCACGGTCAATATCCACATACTGGCCGCCGTCCCCAAGATCCTTTATAGGTCACCACGCTTTCCTCATGATCAACACGTCATTAGCACATTTACGGCAGCAATTTTCGTGACATCTCCCACCGAGGAAACAAAATGAAGTCTAACGGTCGCACCGTACTTCAGCCTAAAAGCTGGGCGTAAGTACAAGATCAGTCAAGCGTGCGGAGGGCGGCTCAAGCTTTACTGGCTGATTGTGGGGATGAATGGCGGGGATCGGAGAGATCGGCAACAACTGGCTGAAAAAGTCCGCCGAACCGGTTGACAGCCGATGGTAGTGCGCATTCCGATCGTTGTACGCGTGGACGAAAGCGCCGCAGACTTGATGGCATGGAAGATGGTGTATGGTGGAATTTGACGATGGTCAGGACGGAGACGAGGTGGTGGTGGCTTCCAGAATGTTTGTGCCGCAATAACGAGAGACCTACTAGGGCAGCTACGACGTCATCAGCCATCTCGCCCACGACCGACCGCCTGCAGTCCACAAACGATCAAACCCTTCTCTTCATTTGCGAACTGAGCATGACACTACTCGGTTGAGTTCTATCACTACATGCGCGTGGTAACGAGCCTGTCGCGTCCCTACGATCATACGTACAGGCTATTCCAAGGTTCAGAACTAATTGACAGGGTCGCGGTGATGCTGATCGATCATATTTGTCAAAAGTGTCCCTGAAAATTCTCATATTATCGTACTTCGCGTTGATGGCCTTTACCTTGTCGCGGTAGCTTCTCGAGGTAGTCTCGTATACTCTCACTCAGGTGCAGGTCCTGCCTAAGTACACATCACTCTCACGTACCGCTCTTGTAACCTTATTCTATCACTTCATACAACTCAAGTCTGAGAGAATCTCTCTACATATCAAAATCTCATCTCCTTGAGGTCTAGACCTTGCCTCCCATCGTATCCAATTACTAACACATTTTCTCGGCCCTTTTCCTTAGTCTCCGGTACACTACCTTATGCGTGCAGCATAACTTCACTATTGGTGGAATACTAATAAACCCGTTAGAACCTCCAGTCACTAGTTCGCGGTGCTAGACTGCAAGTGTTCCCTATCATGGGATATACCAACGTCAAGAATCCCATCACTATCGATGAAAGCGTAACGAACTGGTACACACAAACAATTTCCAGACAAGCAAGTTCTCTCATACCCGATGACTTTGAGAAACTTCCAGCTTTCGAGACCGTCAAGTTTAGCCATCGCAAAAGCTTTAGTCCAACAGTCGACGCCTATCTGCCACAGGACGCGTCCGATATGGTACTTACTCTAGGCACCTTCGACGCCCCGTATCTGGAGTTGAAGCCCCTGGTCTATATCTACGTGTATGGATTGAAGCATCACCATATCGGGTACTTCTATGTCGACTCAGACTCGAGCGTCCATCGCATGCATCAGAGCAGTCTCAAGCATGTCGATATAGACGAACCGTTTTGTGACGTCGGTGACCATTCAGTTGGTGAACAAACCGTTTACAACAGGATGCGGGCAACGGCACTTTACTTCTTCTTGGTTGCTGGTCACATCGAAGCAATCGAGAACTACAGTCATTTCTGGGTAAGTTCTGACTGTACCAAGTGCATGTGAAACATATACTAACTTCGTACCTCTACCTCTGCAGATGGACTTTTCGAAAGCTTGCGGATGGATCGCAAACAATGGCAGTCGCCCAAAGCCTCACACAAAAGCACAGAAACAGGAACCGGAGACCGTACCAGTATCCGCTGCGACACCTATTTCGGGCCCAGAGATGGCTGGCTTGACGCACGACACTGTCGCATCCAGGAAACGCACCCGCGATGATGGACCCATGCCAACAGAAGGTGAGTTACAAGGTCCGCAATCCTTCTACTTGAATGTACTGACAGATGGCAGCGAGAATCAAGCGTCGCGACTACAGTCATATCGTGCGTATACGCGATAGATTGCAAAATCACCCTAAGCTAACTTTCCCGTCGATGCATCCATCGCATAGCATCATACGGCGATCATTGAGCCCAGAACATCCGGTCATGGCAATCAGCGCAGAAGCCAGGCTAGCCAACAGTGAAAGAACAAACCCCCCATTGAGAGCGGAAATCGATACGCAAGCCAGGGCTGTTGAACAACTCAAAGCACAGATGACAGTAAACCATCAGCTCTTAGCACAAGTCAACGGACTCACAGCGGAGATAAGTCGAGTCAAAAACGAAAGCATGTTCAGTCAAAATGCGTACCGCGGCATCCAAGTTCAATACGACGAACTGGCAGAGCGACACGCTAACACGCTCCACAACGAGAACGCCCTTCGCGATCAGCTCGGTCAAACTCAGACACGTTGCGCACAAGCCGAGAGGCGATCAAAGGCGCTGGAGAAGGAAGTGGAGGGTCTCAAGCAAAGAATGAGAAGAGCGGGAGAAGCGTTGGACATTTCGGCTTTGTGAAAAGTGGAGAATGATCGATCTTGGGGTACTTGAAGTATCGAAGGCTCATGGCGTTGATTTGGAAAAGTTCGTGTCGGCCAAGGTCATCCGTGGGTTTCCATTGCTGGGGTTAGTGGGGTTTGCGGGAGTTTGGCAACAGAACTCGGGATTATGCTTCATGAAGTTTGGGACTGCTTTGCGCGACATACCTGGTCTTCCTTCGGGGAAGGTATTGGTGAGAATTGTCTTGGGAATGTTTGACATCGAGCAAGAAAAGATCGACGGGGCTATGTCTCATCGCGCCGTTCATACATGCATTTATGTCTCTCAAATTGGAGCAGCTAGTCTTTTGCGCTTCACAATCAAGGCCAAATTTCACCTGAAGCTATACCTTTACCTTTGTCTTGAGCATACTGAGACCCCCAGAAAGTGCGCCAACTAAGACATGAAATCCTTCTATGATCATGCATGCACAGCAAGCGCAAATAGCAAACTCACAACGGCTATAACATCATGCTTTCACGCCTATTTTCCTCGTCATCTACACCATGAGTTCCACACCTCGCACTACTACTGCTAACACCGACAATATCGAAAAAATTGTCAAGGCGAAGAACGAATGGAAAGGATTCTACGAATCCCTCGAAGAAAACCCGTACCACGCTACATGCATAGCAAAAGAAGCACGAACAAGGAAGACATTAGAAGAGGACTTGCTCGTACCGGCTCTCAAAGCAGCAGCGAAGGATGCGAAGGACGCCAACACGAAGCTGAAGGAATGGATAAGCGTAGTAGGCGTTGTGGACGAGTTGTGGGACGCCAGTGCTCTGAGATATCAAGTTGGTGGGGCTAGAGAAAAACTGGTCGACGCAGTTTGGGATCTGGAAGCCACCGTGTACGAATTGCGGAAGACGCTGAGGTTTGACGGAGGCGGAGTACTGAATAAAGTTATTGATCCGTCGGCAGAGGATAGCTCTGAGGAAGAATAGGCCGTTGGCGTTCGACCCGTTTGTTGCGGCGTACGCCTGAGAAACCATATAGTAGTAATTGTCTATGTTCAGTACGATTACACTGCATTTCATAGTGCTGAGTCTTTCCGCCCAAATCAAGACCAAGCCTAGTCTGAATTAAAGGCGTATTCTAGCGTTCGTTAACACTTTCCGCGGGGGTCGTCAGGCTACCACATGAGTCGCTTAGCTGACCCTCAAACAGCGCAATGCTGAATCTTACGGCTCCGAACCATGCTGACAAGAAGACATTCGATGATGGCCGTAGGAAGATATTTGGTGTTGTAGAGACGCGATCGAACGCGTCCGACGCGTCCCGGTCCGCATGGCACGTGGGGGCGCGGGGCAAGCGAGACACCTGCATCGGAAGCTACGATGCCCTCAACCACGAAGGAGTCTCCAACTTGAATACGATGCCACCTCTCGCGCGGTATTAACATGTCGCATCTTAGAAGAGTTTGTCAACGACTATGTCACACCAGACCGGAAGAGCTACTGCACGGGTCCACTGCGGCTATCCAGCCCTAAGGCGCAATACTCAGGTTCCTTATCCCTGGACCACGAACGAGGCGCGACAGCCGCAACGACAACGAACTGCTTCCGACACTGTGGATACGCTGATTACCGGTTGCCGCGTTGTCGGTATTTTGTCTTTGGCACGCTCGCAGATATGGGGTAGTGCCTTGGAGCGCAAGAGAGATCGGATGAGGGAAGACGTGCAGCAGGAGCGGACAGCAAGCTACATACGTCCTGTCATCGAGCGCAAATGCGCAATTTGCTGGATGCGATACGAGGCGGTCGCTCAGCCCATTCGTTCGATGTCATCGAGGTGTCACAGCGTGCGCCATCACGAACGCGAAGAAGCAGCTGCATCGATAGGGTCTGCATATCTAAGCCAGGCAAGGCAGGTGCCGATCGTCAATTTGCAAAGGGAAGAATGAGAGCATTAGGCGCGCAGCAGGCCCGAACCAGACCGAGGCAGCCCGTACGATATCAAGACTCCCAGCCTCCCCATATGGTAAGGCAGCATACAAGCGACACAGCAACGCCGCACTGGCTATCGATGTGTAAAAGTTGGGTGTTGGACTTTTTATCGACCTGCCTCTTCGGGTGCGCCGTTTTATCCGCCACCGGGCTTGATCGTGACGGCGCGTCTTGGCACGGCCGCGAGCAATCTGGGCGAGAGCTTTGCGGAGCTTCACGTGAGAGCTGCATGGAGCTGCCCGCCAAGTCTGAGCCACGACTGCGGGACATGTGGGCCGTGTCGCGATAGGACGACACAGAAACATGCTTTCTACGTTCCCACCGACGGCGAGCTTGTTTGTGCGCCCGCAGCGCTAGCCTCCATCAGGAAGGAGCGGTCGTGGACAGCGCCCATCTATCCACATGTTTGGTATAGCAGCAACCGCGTTACAGGCGAGCCTGATGCCATCACCGAGTGCGTAGCCAACGAGGAGCGCCATCACAGCCAGGTACCGGTCCCTAAACCCCGCTGGCAAAATATCGTCCAGCCAGGGTCTGCAGCTAGGTACCGAGCAGCGCGTTGTACAAATAAGCTGCTTGCCCTTCCTGAGCTTTTCCGACCATCGACCTTGTCCAATTGAGCTTTTACGAAGCTGGTCGCATACAAAATGGCTCGATACATCAGCGTTGCCGCGGCTTTGGCTGCTACCGGCGCCTGTGCCTTTACGCCTGAGTACGTTTACCATCACATTCCGTTGCTTGCGCAACTGCTAACAAGTGAACAGAGGACTCCTCAGCACCGTCCGACGTGGCGTCGCTGACGCCAGTCCCGATGGCTCTGTCGGTCTGTTCTCGTACTCCCAGTATTCCTTCGAGGAGCACGGCAGTGCGGGTTCTGGCATGAACCTCATCGATCTCAAGACCGGCGAGATCACCGAGTCGGGCCTCAATGCCAGCGAGATCAACGAGGTCGCCTGGATTCCTGGCAGCGAGACTGGTATCATCTACATCAATGGCACCAACGAGGAGGTCCCCGGTGGTGTTACCCTGTGGGTCGGCGACATCAAGGACCCCAGCGCAAGCAAGATGGTCGCTTCTTTGGATGCGCCATACTCTGGTCTCAAGGTCGCAAACACTTCGACTGGAGACATGCATTTCATCGTAAACTGCATGGCTTACCCCAACGGTACTGCCGTCAACCCCGAGACCGAAGTTACCCCAGTGACTACTGCCCGCTACTACTCCGACAACTATGTCCGCCACTGGGACACTTGGCTGACCAAGAACCGCTACAACCTCTTCGCCGGAGCTCTCTCGGCGAACAACAGCTATGCGCTGTCCGGCGCTGGAATGCGCAACATCCAGAAGGGCATCAACTTCACCACCACTGCGCCCGAGACTCCCATCCAGCCGTTTGGTGACTCCAGCGACTACGACATCAGCCCTGATGGTTCCATGTACGCTTTCGTGACCAAGGCCCCTCAACTCAACAAGGCCAACTACACCGCATCATACACCTATGTTGGTGCTTTTGCGTCTTCTGACGCTCCCGTCGCCTTCAACGGCCCAGACTCACTCGCGGCGGAGGCTGGTCACAAGGGTGCCTCTGGTCTCCCTTCTTTCTCCACCGACAGCTGCAAGCTCGCCTACGTGCAGCAGGATGAGGACTACTATGAGTCGGACAGGTGGCAACTCTACACTGTCGACGTCGCTGTTGAGGGTACCGGTGTTGCTGTCAGCAACTGGAAGGCTCTGAGTGCCGGCTTCGACCGCTGGGTTCAGGGACCCATCACCTGGGCTCACGACGACTCCTCCATCTACGTCACTGCTGATGACTACGCTCGCGTCAAGATCTTCAACTTCCCTGTTGACGCTGACGAGAGCTTCGTCCCCGAGCCTATGACCTCGAACACATCTGTCTCGGCTTTCGCCCTCCTTCCTGATGGTTCGCTGTTCGTCGCTGCTACCGCCATCTGGACTCCCAGCGAGTGGTACATCCTCGCCGACGGAGAGAAGAAGACTCTCTTCGATGCGTCTCAGGTCGACCCCAACCTTGCAGGTCTCGGATCCCACACCGTTTCCGAGATTTTCTTCAACGGTTCCAACCCTGAGCTCAAGCAGCAACTCCAGGCCTACGTTGTCAAGCCTACTTTCTGGCAGGAGAACGTAACCTACCCGCTCGCTTTCTACATCCATGGTGGTCCTCAGGGTAACTGGGGCAACAGCTGGTCCAACCGCTGGAACCCTCAGGTCTGGGCTGATCAAGGCTACATCATTGTCGCCCCCAACCCAACCGGTTCCACCGGTTTCGGACAGTTCCTCACCGACTCCATCCAGGGCCAGTGGGGTAGCTGGCCATACCACGACTTGGTCAACGCCTGGAACTACGTCAACAGCAGCATGCCATGGATCGACACCAAGAATGGTATCGCCGCCGGTGCTTCCTACGGTGGTTACATGACCAACTGGATCCAGGCCAACGACCTCGGCAACGAGTTCAAGTGCCTCGTCACCCACGACGGTATCTCCAACACCGAGGGTGCATGGGCCTCTGAGGAACTTTGGTTCATCCGCCACGACTACAACGGCAGCATCTGGGACTCCAACGCGTACCGCGAGTGGAACCCCCAGAACCACATTGCCAACTGGTCCACTCCCCAGTTCGTCATCCACAATACCCTTGACTACCGTCTGCCCGAGAGCGACGGCCTGAGCTTGTTCAACATCCTCCAGGCCCGCGGTATTCCCTCCAGGTTCCTCAACTTCCCCGACGAGAACCACTGGGTGCTCAAGCAGGAGAACAGCTTGTTCTGGCACACCGAGATCTTCAACTGGATCAACCACTGGTCCAAGGGTGAGCCTCTGAGCGACCTGCCCATCGGTAACTAGATGGGGAAAAGTCATGGTCTTCAGCATTGATGACAACATTGATGAAACTTATTCTTACATGATTAATGATAATACATTGATAACAAACTTCATTCACATATGCTTCAGGGCTGTATGCTCGTGATCTAAGCTCTCTTTTGGCCAGAGTCCACCCGGACTAAT